AGGAATGCAAGACAAGTGGCAACAACAAGACTCCTTCTAGATTCTTTTCCGGGTTCACAACTTTCTCACAAGATTTAAGACAACACAACAAAGCACTTGAGAGCAAATTAGGACTAAACATAACAAACTCTTATATAGAAATAGTGTGTTGGGTTTATGAGGACCAAAACCCAATAGCTAGAAAACACTTTGTCTTTTAACCTATATATTTATCAAAGCCTTTATTTGATTTATTTAATTAAAATACTCTATTATATTATTTACAAAAAAAAAAGTCTTTATTTATTTTATTTGTGAAAATTGAAGTGTTAAAAGACGTGAAAAATATAACAGTGGTGCAAGCAACTAAAAAAATACCTCAATTTAATAATTCAAAGGTGTATGTAATCAAATTTGCAGAATGCAAATAATTGCAATAGTGCAAAAGGAAAGGTATCTGACAATAAACGAGATTCAAATTCTCTTTTGACTATTATCAAAAACTCATAAAATTTGACCCAATGAATTCATATAACCAAACTATAAAAGTCTTATGATTTGGGATTTCAATTTCCTGAAAATAATTATTCAAAATTTTCACCCAAAATTGGATCCAAAAAATCATTAAATAAAAGGGCACTCTAATGTTTAGTAATGAAGTTCAAAATCATATAAAATTGATACAAATATCAAATGTAGAAAAATAATACCAACAATGAAAAACTTAATAAGAATTTAGAACAATAATTGGATTGCTTTCTTATTTAGGGATCAAGAGTTCGTAACATTATCAATGTGTTGTAAGACTCCATAGAGTTAGGAAGGTAATAAGTCTTCTTTTGCTTGATTACACACTCTAAATTTTAGGTTTTCAATTGGATACACCATAGAGAGCAATTGAATGTTTTGATGAGAAAAAAGGCCTAACAATTTCTTTTTGTGGACATATGGGTGAGGCCTACATTGTTTCTCACATATATCAATATTTTGTATCCAAAATCACTTACCAATTAATCACGTTATTAATAGACTTATATCATCTAATAAATATCATGTTAGTTTGGTTTAGAGAAGAAAAAGGGTCTTAATGATTGCATGAGAATTCTAAAATTCAATACTTCATATAACGTTAAGGATGGAAACACACTTAAAGTTCTACTTGTGATAAGCCCTTGCAACCAATAACATCAATCCACTCAATTTCCACATATAATTCCCCAGTCTCAACATTTTTCAATCTCAAAACCATTTCTTGGATAATATTTCCATCTTGCCAAATACAATTGCTCTCTTCAGCAAGGCAATTAGTTTCATCTGGTTGTATCCTCTTGATTGAAAAACCATTTCTTTGTTGAATTAGCTTGTTCAACTCCATCTGCAGACACTCAACATATGGTTTTAAGTCTATATCTGCCTCACCCATTCTATCATCTCCAGAGAAAGTGTCTTTGTCATAAACATTCTGTAAAGAGAAATAAAATGTGAAAGTAATCAACAAATTTTGGAGTATTCTTCTTGTGCTATAGTGATAACATTAGAAGGATATGGGATAGTTCTTTGCAATGCTCTTAATGAATGAAAATATTATAAAATAATGTTATATATAAATGAAAAATTCAATAATTAGACTTGTCTCTCTTTATTATAGTCTTCATCTATCAAAAATTGAACTACTAATATAGATTTTGCAAGTTTAATCTAACAATACGGTAGAGAATATATACAAATAGGCAATTATGCATTAGAACTTGATATTATAATGATATTATCAATGATATTATGATCAATATTATAATGTAGATGCACAACGTCTATACTAATGATATAATTTCCTTTAAATAAAAATTATGGTCTTACTTTTTATATAAAGAAAATAAATAAGAAGGTAGAATAAATTAAGCTTTTCTCATAAGTTAAAGTCAATTATCACCTCAATATTTATAAACTAAGATAAGGGAACTTATATAAAAGTTAAAATGCTTAAGATGATTTTGAATTAGGAGAGAAACTCATATCATTATAACTCTTTATTTAGAAATTTTATAAGTATTTGAGTAGAAGTTTATCCTATTAAAACATATATATCTATATAGATAAGCCTAATACTTAGTAAATAACATTTATAGCTTGGATCAGTACTTACAAGGTGTATTGGAGTTTTAACATCCTTTATAGATAGGGTCAAATTTTCATCCCACTCAGGATTGCAGTTGTTTTTTACCACATGAGTCTTCATTTTCTGCACTAATATGAGAATAATCAACAGACCAAATGATCTAATAATCAAAAAAGTGTTTTATCTAAAAGTTAGTATATGGGTTTTAAATGAAAGACAAGATTCTGAATTTAACTAGATGGACTCTATTGCATACAATTTCCTATGTCAATCATGCTCCTTCATCTTCAAAAAATTATTGAAATCAAAACAATTGGGATATATATATCAATTGATAGTGTTTGCCAACATAAGTCCTTATGAAGAATTAAATTAAAGCTGGATGCTAAGTGATATTAATAGATCTCAATAAGGTAAGCCCAAAAAGGATATGGGTTAAGCATCGGATTAATTATGTCATGGACAAAATAAATATTGATATTTTATTGTAAAAGGAAAAAGAGGATACGTGTAAATCAAATGTAAGATGAAGTTGATGTGTTTGAGTGGAGGGTGGTGCAACCCATGACTTAATGATAAGTTCTATTTTACAATCCAAAATTTAAGGTTTTTAGTACTATTATTGATAAATTCTCTCTTTTTTAATTTACTTAAATTCATTCAACTATTAGCCTAGAAAATAACTATACCAAAACCCTTAGTTTTCTTTAGATACCATAACAACTCTATGGTTTAATTTCTCCAGTGGTCATGACAATATTTAAGGTTGCATATGAAGGAAATAGAAGGAGGGTAAAGAATAAGTTTAGGTTATGATTACCAGCTTTCACAAGAGGTGTTTTGGCCTTGAGGTGGTAATGAGCACATATTCTATTGATGCATAATTAGGTGTCAACTAAATTTACTTCTTGTCATTGCATGAATAAGCAAAACGAGAGGAAGTAACAAAAAAATTGAAATAAATAACTATGGGACTCCAACAAATTGGTAGACAATTTGTCATAAGCTAAAGTAAAAGTTGCAAAGTTTTCTTGAACAATTTTACAAGTGTTCCAAGAACCCAAGGGATTACCTCCACAAAGAAATTTTGATCATGCTATTAATTTACCGTTGGGACAAGGTTCAATTAGTGTATGCTCTATAAATGCTTCCAGTTATATAAGGATGAAATTATGAAACAAGTTCGAGAGATGTTGGAAAATGGAATCACTAGCATAGCAATAATGCTTATTCAATTCTTTCTTATTAGAGGTAAGGTCTAGAGACTAGATGGATAGAGATGAGCCTCTAAGACATTTGAAATTCCATTTGAAAAAGACCAAGCAAATGAAGAGAATTACAAATAAACTTAAAAGGATGAGCCTTTTAAGTTTAGAGAATTGACTTATTTAAAAACTTATCAATTACGTAATAAACTATTGTTAGGAATGACAAATAAATAGATTGAATAATTTTTTAGATGAATTATAATAGATCAGATGAAAACAATCTATTAATCCATTTAAATTCCATGAAAATAATATTTAAATATTTAAAAAAAAATTATTTTTGAAATAATTATTTCTCTATCCTTTTTATAAATTATTATATTCCTAGATAGTATTTTAAAACTCACTAGATTTTTTATATCAAAATAATCTTTTTAAAATCTAAATTAAATAAATATCTCATTTTGTAATCTAATGAATTATTTTGAAAAAATAGTGAATGGATTACAAATCATATATAAAATTAAATGGATAAATTGAATCTGATCTATTATATTTTTTTATTGAAATGAATGGATTTGATGAATTTACATAAATAAATAAATTCTTTTGTCATCTTTGATATAAATCAAAAGTTAATTCTCACATATTTTGGTCCCAATAGATATTTGCACCACAAGGACATGAATTAGGTAGTTGATATAAAATCTTCCAATATTCTTCCCATAAATATGTGTTAGAACAAGTTAACCCATTAGAATAGAAAATTAATCCTAAATTAACGAAAAGTTCAATAATAATGAGAATGATAACAAATGATTTATATATACATGACACAAACATATTTTTGTCTCTTATTCATGTATTAACACCATAAGTTTTCTCAAATTACAATCAAGAAAGATATATTATCCATCCATAAAAAATTAGTGTTTTTTTCCTTTTCTTTCTGTAAATAAACTTAAGAATGTAAAAGGCTCGCTATAAATATATTTCCCAGGAGAAATATAATATATTATTAACAAAACCCAATATGCCACAAAAAGAAAATAATAATTTTCATAGAAAATGTTAAAGAAAAAAGGGATTAAAATGCCAATTGTTTAATTAATTTTCCAAATTATTCAGGATGAACACCAGCTCTTAACAGAAACAACCCCAAACCCAACCCCAATTCATTGGATCCACCTTCAAATAAAAAAGATAACCTTAGAAATTGTAAGGTTCAAACCTGTTCACCCACGCTGACAACCACATAAGGATCGCTAGCACCTCTTTTAATTGCATCACGAATTGCAAGATTAACACCCTTTTTAATTCGAACTTTGAGAAGACCCAAAATACTATTGTCCATTGAAACACAACTTGTTCTTGCCGATATTGCCTAGAAACTCTTGTTCCAAATGAAACAAAAAAAAAAAAAAAAATAGAGTTTGATGTATGACACAAAATTTAACTTGCCTAATTGGACGTGTTAAATAGAGGCAGGAGTTTAACGGGCAAAAAACAAAGAACAGAGTAGATGAGTGGGGCCCACCAAAGGAATATTGATACATTATGTTATTTATATTATATTTGTCATAAATTTAAAAAAAAAAAAAAAAAAAAAAAAAAAAAAAAAGTGATTAGGAAAATACCAATTTTAGCATAAAGTGAATGTGTGATCCTCGTGCTTCGACAATAATCTCTCATCCTCTAGCTTCTCCCATCCCTACAATCGCACAACTTTTTTGTTCATGAAGCTCGTCATTTACGGTAAAGTAAGTAAAAGAAATTTTAATTTGAAAATTAAAGGTTTATGTTTTAACACATTACAATTTTTAATCCACGAGTATTTTTTTAGACAATTGATTTCGAGATACTTTTATACATTAAATAAATACTTTTCTGGACAGGGTTTCAAATTTTAGTTCATCACAGTAATTTTTTTTTTTTTACTAATCATTAAAACTATTTACTTTCTTTACTTTAAGTTTATCTTTTCTTTTTAAGTTTTAGGAGTAAATGAATCTATTGAGGTAATAAAATTGCTTCTCTACCTTTTTTATAATTCAATAAAATAGTCACCTTTTTATCTATCCCTATATATTAAATACGCATTTATACTATGTGAGAGTGTTAACTTTTTTTCGACGAGAGATTTTTTAGTGATTTTTTTTTTAATTTATATAATTTATTTTATATATATCATATTTATTTACAAATTAAATTTTAATATTTTTAAAATATATTATTAATAAATAAAAATATTTTATTATAATATAAATTATTTATCATAAATATAAAACATAATGTATATATTTAAAATATTTATTTATTCATTCAAATTTTATATATAATTTATATATTAGAACATAATATGTATATATATTTTTAGTTATATGTAATAAACATTTAAGAGACAAATGAACTTTTAAGAGGCATTTGGTTCAAGGTTTAATATTTGTATCTTTTTAGAAAATAGTAAAATTTGATTGGGTTGATCAAGAATTGGATGTAGTCTTAGTGATTAAGATAAACTAATATAAAAATATTGTGAGTTCTTCTTGCTTTAGTATTTGTTTGCTCTTTTGTGATCTTGATACTACTTTACAAATTAAAAAAGTGTTGAATTTTTTATTTTTTTTAGTTCGTCCCTGGAGTATCCAGAGCCGATAGCGGTGACTAATTTCCTCGCTACGTTGGAGACACCTCAAAGGGTGGGATAGCTGGCCCCAAGATTTAACGCGGCTGCATACACAAGGCAGGATTCAACCCCTGACCTTGCTTAAGCGTTGATCAACCCCTACCGCTGAACCACACGCTTGGAGTTTGTTGAATTTTTTATTGACACTATTTATTCCCCTTCTAGTGTCTTTTTTTTTTCTTCTTAGTTTGATATTAGAACTTAGTCTTTAACAAAGTTGAGCATCTAACCGTGCTAAAGAAAATGACCTTAAAATGGAAAGTAGTGAATGACAATACTTGCCTAAACGAGCTTTTCTTACAAAGTTTGGAGAAGATGACCCATATTAAAAGGACAAAATAGAGATGTTTATCAAGTCCACCTAATATCACCTTTTGAAGATCATCACAAGAGATGATGTTGTAGTTTAGAGGATGTGCCACTTTATATATAGGCATAAGTTTATTTAGACTTACTCTATTCAATAACTCATTTTATATCAAATTTTAACGATCTAACTGTTGAATTTAAAACTATTAATGTATAGATAAAGTCTGCAAAATTTTTAAAAATATTTAAGATCATTTGATACTTCATTTCATTAATTTAAATTAACGTATAAAATTATTTTATGATTATCTATTAATTTGAATTATTTAAACAAAGTATCAAATGATTTTTAAAATTTTTAAATTCAACAATTGGATTATTAAAATTTAATGTAAAACACGAGTTATTAAACGAAATAAATTTAGGTTGAGTTATTATTAAAATAAACGAATCCCTCCTCGTGTATATATATATATATTAATTATAATTAAAAAATCTCATTTATATGACGATGACAACAACAACAATGATAACGACAATGATGATGACGACAACAACAATAACAACAATAATAATAAGCATCTATTTTTATAATTAAAAATCATAATTATAATATATTTTAATAAAAAATAAATCATAAGTAACCAAAAAGAATTGTATATATTTTAATTTGAACATGAAAATTTAAAATAAAATTTACCTTAAAAATGAAAAATATAAGTTATTAGTAAATATATTTAAAGGAATTTTTGTTAACTTGCAGTCATTTATTTTATAGAAAAAATAAGTTAGCGAGTAATAATTATAATTTTAAAAAAATACACTATTTATAATTTGTTAACTTACTCCAACTAAAAATAAAATAAATACAAATTAATAAATATTTTTAAGATTTGCTAGCACACATTTACTTTTCTTTTTTTGAAGGAGTAACTTAATATACATAGTTTTTTTTTTTAAATTCACTCAGGTCACCAACTTACTCAAAAAATAAAAACAAGTAACAAATTCCATATTTAAATTACATTAAATAATAAACTATGATTTAGCATATATTTTCAATCATCATTTAATGTCTCGTAATTTAAATCTACACAATTTAACATATATTTATAATTTACATGATTACTTTTTATCTTTAATCGTTTTTCATTTCCATTTTTTTAAAGAATAAAAGGGTATTTAAAAGAGTTTTTTACTCAAATAATACCATTTTAAAAAAAATTTACCCAAATAATAACTGTGCAAATTTATTTCTCCAACTGTTCACGTTCAGAACAGGCTGTTCTGATTTCAGAACGAGCCGTTCCAGTTTAAAAAATAACACATAAAGAATGAATCAAAACGGGTCGTGGATTGAAAATTAGTACATAAAAAGTAAAACCAGAACAGACCGTTCTTAATTCAGAACGGGCCGTTATGAATCCAGAACGGGCCATTTTGGCCTATAAATATTTTTTTTTCGATTTTCACTTATCAAATACCAAAACTCAGAAACTAAAATCAAATAATTAAATTTATTGAATATTAACATTATAAATATAACTAAATAAATTTATTAAAATTCAATACAACAATAAAGATCAATGGTGGTGGAAACTGATTATGTTGTTCTCTAATATTGATCTTTGTTTTAATCCTGCTGGACTTTGCCACAATCACACCACATTACATTTAGCCTTACTGTAAATCTCCCAGCGGTCATGGAGCAAGGGATATGAACTTTTTGAAACTTGCCGCAATCACACCACATTACATTTAACTTTATTGTAAATTTCCCAACGGGTCATGCGAGCAAGGGATATGAACTTTCTAGAACTTGCTAAAATCATACCTTGCCGCAATCACACCACATTACATTTAGCGTTACCGTAAATTTCCCAACGGGTCATGCGAGCAAAGGATATGAACTTTCTGAAACTTGCCGCAATCATACCTTGTCGCAATCACACCACATTATATTTAGTCTTACTCTAAATTTCCCAACGGGTCATGCGAGCAAGGGATATGAACTTTCTGGAACTTTCTGGAACTTGTTGCAATCATACCACATTTCATTTAGCCTTATTGTAAATCTCCTAGCGGGTCATGTGAACAACATAATTAGTTTCCGCCAACATAATCAGTTTCCCAGCGGGTCGGCCAAAGTCTAGCAGGATTAAAACAAAAATGAATATTAGAGAACAACATAATCAGTTTCCGTTACCATTTATCTTTATTGTTGTATTGAATTTTAATAAATTTATTTAGTTATATTTATAATGTTAATATTCAATAAATTTAATTATTTGATGTTAGTTTCTGAGTTTTGGTATTTGATTAGTGAAAATCGAAAAAAAATTATTTATAGGCCACAGCGACTCATTCTAGATTTAGAACGGTCTGTTCTGGTTCATTTTTTATGTACTAATTTTGAATTCGGAACGGCCGTTCAGATCCATTCGTTATGTTTTATTTTTTAAACTGAAACGGTCTGTTCTGAAATGAGAACGACCCGTTCTGAACATGAACACTAAATGATATTAGTTAGGAAAATAAATTTGCACGATTGCTATTTGAGTAATTTTTTTTAAAATAATATTATTTGAGTAAAAAATTCGTATTCAAAAAGAGTGATGACAAAAAAAGAAAACGATTTTAAAAAAATATATTTCTTTCATCTATTGATATAAATAATTTATAAAGTCATGATTGAAAAATAATTATTTTTTATTCTTATAACATTATAAAATTTTACTTTTTAATTTCTACAATACAAATATTATATTTTAATTTGTATACATATTATTTTTATTTTTTCTTTATATTTTTATAAATTTGATCTTTTAGTCATTATAGTAATACACACGAGAGACTAAAATGAAACAAAATTAGCATGGACATGAATTAAAATGAAATCTTTTTAACTATAACAAAAATAAAATTTACGAAATTATTGAGAAAAAAAAAAATATGATAACCCACAAACTATTGACTAAAATGAAGAAAGATGGGGATGAATTTCGTTGCAGGCACTAGGCAAGTGGCCTTCAACTTCACCTTCCATTCTCTCTTAACCAACGCCAACTAGTCGCCTCGTCGGTAACGTTAACGTGCGTGTGTGCAACCGCTTTTTCATTTCTTTTTTTCATCAAAAAAAAAAAAAACCACGAAATTACCTCTCAATTTCCCCCAACACCTTCCATTTTTCTTCTCTCATAAATAAATTCTCATTTATTTTCCCAAAAAAATAAATTCTCATTTATTTTAGTATTTGACATTTGCATAGTTTTCCACTAAGCAACCAACACTCTGTCTTCACCTTCCCAACCTTCAACGCTTTGCAATTTAAATAAATATCCATTTTTTAAATTCCAAATATCACTGCCCAACGTTAACGTCGAAGCGGTTATTTATTATTTATATATTTATATTTATTTATTTATTTCTTACTGTTACTACTATTCTCAAACTTGCCTTTTGCGCTTCCCATATCACATATGATGTTCAACTTTTGTGTCCAATATGAAGTTCCACTTTTGTGTGCATTTTGTTTCCCCCCACTACGAGGTTGCTCCAAAGTTTCCATTTTTTTAAGGTTTCTTGGGGTTTGAACTCTCTTCCATACTGTAGTTTAGTTTAGTATGGAACCCGTGCCTATTGTGATGTATGTAAGTTCGGACGAGGAAGAAGAGGAAGTGGCGTGTTTGGAAGAGAAGGGAAGGAGGGCCATTGATCTTGATTGGATAAAGGAGTTTTTGGACATGTCGGATGAGGAGACAAACGAGGTTGTTGTGTTGGACGAGGTGAAAAAACCTGAACTCAAGTCAAAGTCTTTGGATGTGAAAAAAGTGGATGATGATGATGAGGAGGAGGAGGAGGATGATTGTGTTGTTCTGGATGGTGACCCGGAAAATCGAGTCACTTCGGTGGAGGGCTTGTCAACTGGATCAGATGAATTGGTTGTTGTTGGGGAGAAGGGTCAGGTATTTTTTTTCCCAATTTTTTGTGTTGGGTAGAAATTTTGGTTTTTTTGGTGTGTAATTGTTGGTGAGAGAGAGAGAGAGAGGGAGAGAGGGAGAGAGAGAGGATTAAATGATGGGTTTTATGTCATGCATGCTACTCTCAACTCAACTGTCATGCATGTGATTGATTATTTTCTGATTTTTTTCAAGGTTTGATTTAATGCATTGTTAAGTGGTAACCTTGATGTGTTTTCATTTTTCTTAAAGAGTTCAATACCTTGAACCGTCTGGGTGAAATTCATACGGCTCTTACTAAATATGTGAGTTTTACTTAACAGTGGGTGTGGGTCTTATTTTTTATTTTGTGGGTTTTATTCCCAAATTAGTGGGATATATATGAATTTAAACTGATGGAAGAAAATGTGTTAGAGATTGAGTTGCTTGCACTTCCAATTTTAAATGGATTCTTATTCTAATATTGAAAGTGAAATATTTGATCCTGATTGGTAGGAGGTATGAATAGATGTTGCTAACTCAATCCAGATTATTTGGAAGAAAGCATAGCCTGAGCGGAACCCCTATGTGTTGCAATGTGATGATGGTTACTTATGATTTGTCTGTATTTAACTTCTTATGAAGTTATGCAACTTCTTGAAGTATGCTTGAGAATGCAATACTCATTCCAACAGAGATTTTTTCCATTAATCAAGACATTTGCTTTGGCTGCAGCATAGCTATTTTCTCTTTTGACATTCTGGCTTAGATTTTCCTTGGTTTTCATACATGATATTGTTTTCTCAAAACACAAATTTTCATACTTCACTTATGATTGAAGATGTATATATGTAGCATTTTAGATGTGGAGATTCATTTTTGTTTTGGACTTGCAGATTGCGTGCAGAGACTATCCTCATCCGCGGCATCTTTGTGTCAAATTTCCTTATTCTTCCGCCCCTCATGAGAAGCACTGTGACCAAGTAAAGATCATAACTTGTTGCTTAAGGCTATGTCAGAATTTAGTTTTATGCATTAGCTGGTTTAATTGTAATTGTTTGTTATTTTATGTTTGATATTATCCTTCTATCACTCTGATTTTTGCTTTCTTTAATGACATTCAGTGCCACTGTTATGTGTGTGACTCAGTAGCACCATGTCTGAAGTAGAAAGTGAAGTAATGGTGTATGTGAATATAAAATTGAATCGTGCAGCTTATTAGATGATATTAATTAATTATTGGTGTCTTGTTGATATATTGAAGGAAATTGTGAATCCCAAGGCTTCAAGGATTTCATGAATGAGAGCAAGTTGATGGAGGGGCACTGGCCATTTAGGTACAGATCATTGCCATGCAACTGATAAATCCGAGACATGGAGAACTCTGAGGAAGAATTTCATGTTGGGCAAGACTGCTCCATTATTGGCTTCATCCACTCATGGTACTTTGAGTGATGTGAGGACTGTCCAACATAATCATACTCTGCCCCTTGATATTATGCTATTGTCCCCAAATTCCATGTTGCTGAATCATACATCATTGTCAACTGCAACACATCCATGCTCCCCAGTAAATGTCATCCCTCAAAATCAAGCCTCTAGGACGATTACAATGCATGAGCGCTCTTCACTATATTCTAGCTTACGCAACCATGTCTCTAGCCCAAATGCTATCCCTGAATGCTCCACTGCCACCAACTTTACTATCCCATCTGGTACAAACAATGGTAGATGTCGAGTGTCAGGGTCTACTTTGGTGAGAAACAGATACCAGTCTCATTCTGTTCCACAGCACGGGCTAGGTGTGCGCAATCATGCCATCCAAAGGGTGCGAGGACATGGAGTAAGTAGTTTAGGGCATCAGTTCCTTCATTCGCACATGATGCTTAACAGGTTAGGCAGTGTTGGTGTTGGGAGCACCCTGCCAATGAACCATTCTGCTCATGGTGCTTCTGGCTTTGACAATCATATCAATCCAGCACAGCAATATGGCAGATATCATGCTGCAACAGGATTTTTAAATAACAGAACTTGTTATGGACAAAATGATGTCTGTGTCCCCCAAAATTTATTGTACCCAGATCCATGCTCTCAACCGAATAACCTCAGATCTGTCAGCAATTATAGTACAGCTTATGAAACCCAATTATGTTACCTATCAAATGGAAGCCAAAATTTTTATGCAAATTGTGTTCAGGGTAACAATGTTCCTTCAAGTAATGTGGCTAGCTTGAGTATAAATCGGGTTTTAAATGAGCATCAAGTAGGAAGTCAAAATGAAAATGCTTGTGGAAATGTAATCCATTGTGGAACTACAAGACAATATTCTTGCCAGCAGAAACATTATGACACGAGTCAAATTGAATCTGCACTAAAAGCAGATTTTTCAGCTTTTGACTCAAGTAGGATGGAGGATACCAGCCAAAGCATTTCACATCTACAAGGCTCAGGATCTATGAACATATACAGTGCCAAGGAGTCTGGTGCCCAGTTTACAGGAAGCACCTGTCTTGGCTCAGTCGATGACATCAAGCAGTGGCTCTTTGATGAAGAAAACTCTGTCCCAGTTGGAGCTGATGTTGCTTTGGCGTTTGACTCTGAGCTGAATATTCCATCTCCTGATCTTAGCACATTTGATGCAAGCACATTCTTATATGATTTTGAAAACTCTTGGGATTGTCCGGCACAAAGTCTAGTCTAGAATATTAGCTTAGCAATGTTATCAATGATGACGAGACTTCAAGGTAACGAGACAAGAATTCTGCTGATTGATTTATACATGGATGAGCTCAGAACTTGCTAGTGCTAGATATCGTATTAGTGACTACTACATATATATGACTTGTTGACTCTGAGGATCTCATAAGCTAGTGTTAGAAGTTATAATTGGACCGTGTTAGATCTGATGTCGTTCCCATTGCAGAAGAGTTTGATGCATTAGACAGACTGAATCTTTGAACTTACAAGCCTAGCACCAACCAATGGAAAAATCCTACATGTGTACAGGATGCTAACATAAGAAGGAATACAAGAACTGTGAAGCGTTGTTTTGCCTCTTTCATTTTCAGTTACGCGCAGTATGTTTAAGATTTCTATATAACTTTTTTCCCCCCTTCAAAATTTAGTATATAACATCATATCTAATGTTATTAAATGGAAAAATCTGAACATCTATGATCTCTGCCTAATAGGTAGATTTTTACATGCCTAACTATTTCTTTTTGTGAAAAAAGAATATTTGCCCCCCATAATATGAAAATAACAAAGGGATTTTTTTCCCCATAATTTCACACTTCTCTTTTATAATTGACAACTTATTCAATAAGGGAGAAAATTAACCGCGTGTAACTTACAAACATGTTTATACTTTAAGAGGTGTAGCCAATAGTGTGTTCAAAAGAAAAAGGGTATTTGATTAATAAATGATAATAAAGGATTTAGCATATACCTTTTTTATTTAAAGAAAAAATATTTTTTCTCAAAATATGTTTTAAGACTTATTTATGGTTCAGCCAACTCTAGTATTAGATTCAAATTGTACAACAAAAAAAAGTGACCCAGGTTTATGGCAAGTTCATATCCGGAATTGGACTCTTCGAAGGCGGAAGCAACAAACATGGCTTGAAAGATAGAAGGATGACGGCTTTAGTTTGATCCTAACAGGCAATTTATTCATTTCCTCGCAAAAGTTTATTCTTTAATCTCTAACCCTATGAATAATTTCCTAAAAGTAACCCAAAATTCTACTTTTTTTTCTCTTCTTCTTTAAATAGATAAATAAACAATCTTAAATTAAAAATATAAACTTATATAAAATATTGATTATATAAACATGTTAATTATATAAAATATTAATGATATATTATAAATAAATATAAATATTATTCATATAATATATGAATTATAATATAAATAAATAAACTTAAATATAAATAAAATAAAGTCAACCTTAAAAGACGTAAATCGTGCATGCCTAATAAACACTAACATAATAAAATCAACTTTTAAAACACACATTATATTTGAGAAATTATTTTATTGAGAACGATTGACACCATAAATGAATCTTGAATTCATTTTTTGTCAGAGTTGGTTTCATATATATTTTGCAAAGCCTCCTTCAATTTCCATGATCCTAATAATATGCTTCTCAATGCAACTAATATGGAGAGTGGAGACCAACTTTGTATGTCTTATACTAAATTTGTGGTGTTCTTTAAAATATTATTCGTTTCATTTTAATATAAAATTTTAAAAATATAAAAATTACGTTAAAATAAATTTTGAAGAAAAAGTGGAGCCTTGTTATATGTATGCACTTGTTTATTGATGAAAAACATTTTACGAAATAGAGTACGAAGCAGGTGTATCTTTTCTATTGGTTGAAAAAATTGAATAATAAAAAAAAAAATAAAGAAGATTTTAACCGAAATCACGCGGGTCGTGAATTTACAATTCAATAATAAAAGCAAACTCTTCCTCTGAAATGCACGATCATGTGCATATAGTACCAGTTATAACTCCAAATCCGAGTTATTCACCATTCTTCCTCTACTACTTGTTATTGCTCTAGTCTGAAGATCTTGATTCTTGAGAAAGGTTACATTACACGTGCAGGTCAGTGTTACTCCACCATCATCTCGAAATCTACTTACATGTATATATTTAGTAGATATATATCTTTTGGCGATTATATTTCTTGCTTCTTTAGGAAGAAAATAAAATATTTGTCTTTTTTTCTTTCAAGAAACATTTTGTAACACAGTGGTGAAGGCTGAAGAAACATGGAATTGAGTGCACTTGTTGTAGAAGGCGATGCGAACGTACGAAACGTTCATAAGGATCTGTTGAGATTAGTTGGGAATTGTACTACTGTGAACAGTGGCTTGCAAGCTGTGATCCTTCATCGCATGGGTAAAAGATTTGACGTCATTCTCATGGACATGGACTTGCCTCAACTTGAAGGAATTAGGGTATACGCACTTAATTTCATAATAGGAGCTAGGAAATTCAAACCACGTTCTTTCTTGATTTGATGGTTTACCTATATAGAATGTTCCGTGAGTGGTAATGTAATGAATAAAATGCATGTGCAATATTATGCGTATAAATTATATATAACGTGATTTTGTTGTTGCATGGTGTTATGTTATAGGCAACAAATGAACTTCGTGTAATGGGGGTTCGTAGCTTGATTTTGGGTATGTCGAGATCATGCAGTAAAGAGGAAGTGCGAAGTCGGGAAAGAATAATGGTGGAAGACGCCATAGATGTCCACTACACGAAACCCTTGACCGCTGAACAGCTTGAAGAAGCTCTTGAAATGTTAGATTCATGAAAATCCAACGTGTAAGGATGATGATCTGTTTTGCCATGCTGTGCACTGCTTTCTTATTCTATGGTGTTGTCGTGTGTACGTAATAAGGAGAAAACTTCAAAATGATCTTCTTGAACGAATCTTTGCTAAGGGTCCTTTTGCCTTTTTCTTTCTTCTTCTTATTTTCAACCGACTTTTTGAGTTGTAATTGATTTTGAAAATATATGATATTTGATTTTGTTGATAAGGTTATTTTATGATATTTGTCTAAAAGAATATTTTATAAGAATTATTTTTATCAGATAAATATAATCTAATTTTATTTTTGAGATTTTTATTTATAAATAAAAGTTGTTATACAAAATTAAATATTGATAATATATCTTATTCTAAAAACACGAAAACAAATCATAAAATAATTAAAAATAAATTAAATCTAAATATTTAAAATATAAATAAAATATTTTTATCAAAAATTAATTTATTCTCTTAAAGATATTTAAGCGTATTTCCAACACTTGTGCATGTGTTGCCTTTAGTTTCGAAACAATATGACTATTATAGTATTGTCACCATAAGTAGTTATTAGTTTTGAACTGATAGTGGTAGGGTAAGTTTAGTCGATTTTGGAAGGTTTTATAAGCAATGTTTATATTTAATATCGTTTTTCTTTTAAAGAACGAGTTTGTGTTTGGGTTGATAGTGTTTTGTGAGTTTGTTAGGTATACTTAATATCGCTTTTCTTTTTAAAAATTGAGTTTGTGTTTGGGTTCGTGTTTTCCGAGTTTGTTAAGTTTTTTTCCCCTCATAAAATAGTGGTATTATGTTTGCCGATTGGGCGTTGTTAAAGCATTGTAGTCCTTATTTGACATCTTATTTCATAATTAAAAAACCAACTTTGTATTTATATAGTGACTTTGTTTTACGATTTTATGACTTTTTCATTGGTTTGATAATTTATTATGTTTCATTGTGGATTGTTGTATTAAGCCTATGTCTCCACACATATATATGAACATGCTTGCATATATTATTGTGGTGTCCCTTGGCAAAATATAAACTTCAAACACATCAAAGAACCTTGGAAGAAAATATTTTGGTTGTGAAAGATTTGATGAACTAATAAACATTGTCCTTCTTTTCGAATGGTGTAGCCAAATAGATGAAGTGGAAAAATTAGTTATAATAGTATCAAGTTACATATCTTATTTGAAGGTTAAAGTTGAGAAACTAATAGAGGAGTTGAATGTGATGACTAAGTGTGTATTTTTGAATGTGTTAATATAATTGATATAAAAGTAATGTGAATTTGTAGAATTAATTTTGAATAAATATTAGTCAAAAGTAACGTGATCTTTGTTTAGATAATAAATGATATATATTTGATTTTTATATTGAATATTATTTAGAAATTTATTATCAAAGTTGATTTTGAATATATAATTATAAATCTTGATAAATAAAACTCCAAAATTGAGTTTAATGGAAAAGCTATGCTTCCAAATTATGTGAATTTTCATATCTTGAAATCAATTATACTAATAGTCAATGGTATCTCTTGTACCATTTTATTATATAAAATATTTTTTTTCTGTTCAAAAAAAAAAAAAAAACTAATAGTCAAACACACTACAAATGTGATTTCGATCATTTTTGAATGCAATGAAATTGATTTTAAATATATTTGATATGGAACCAAACATACTCTAAAAAGGTACATATTGTGAAAGAAAAGTTGATGGAGGTTATGCGGAGGGTGCAAGCAAATGATATTGATATGAAGAAGAACTTTTTATTGTGTGTATGTTAGTGTTTATTTTGGTAGCAATTATACTCATATCATAAGTCAATATGAAGCTTTCATTAGTTACTTTGAATTATATATTTTAGTCACGGAATGTTTGTTTGTGTTTTTCAATATCACATGTTTTGAATATATAAAGTGCGGTACTTTCATAAAGTTGTCCTTATGGAAAACAAATGTCAATGACAATGTGTAGATGTTTGACGATTACAAAAGCAAGTGGTTGCGACTGGACCTGTTGTTATATTGAGGTTAGGAACGATGATCAATTTTTTCTTATTGTCATTACAGGAAATATTATATATAGTGATATACAAAAAGTCTCACTATATATACAATATATATAGGTATATATATCTATTTGATATATAGTCACACAATTTTAGTGTTGATTTTGAATGAGATTTAACAACATATTTTATATGTTATTATAATCTATACCCATATTTTTTTTAACAATATATCAATATATATTGTATTTATTATGTGATAAACATAACTTTTAATGATATATATAGTGTCACTATAAGATGTGTGTTATTATATGACAATTTTCTTGTAATGTTTCTAATTTTTTCTAATTTGTAACGACTAGTTTGATTTTCATCCTTTTTAGTGTGTAAGAGTGGAGATCCAACTCCATGACTTGTTGCATCCTTATTGTCGTGTTCACCTAATAAAGGTAATGTAAAACAAATAGTATTAGATATGAGACTAGATGTTATAAAAAAAAAGCTTATTAATTAATGAACTACAAGTTTACTTGTATTTTATAATCTTGAGCTCAGCCACGATGTGACATTCACTTGTCAACCCAAATGTTATAATCATTTCTACAAAAGTAAATGAAAGCAAATTTTTAGTTATTGCCGCATAGTGTATAAAAAAAATAGATTTTTATTTGGGAAAAAAATGTTGGGAGCAACCTGAGTTATATATATATATATATATATGTCTTGTTACGTTGTTCTTGTTGATTTTAAATATTAAAGTAATAATAAGGTCATGCAAAATGATCTCTTTATTATTTATTTTAAAAAGAAAGTTTTAACTTCATTATTTTTATAAGGTTATTTCATATATAACCTCACAATAGTGAGGTATTATCCATTTTAAATCTAAATTTTTACCTAATTTTATTTTTGATCATTTTTCAAAAGTAGGTCATCATTTAAGAGAGACTACATGTGTTAGTTTGAGCGTGAATTAATGTGCTTCGGTTCATTTTGGGCTTCAAAGTCCCATATATATAGGTCATGTTATCTTGTTCATGTCAATTTTAAATATAAATTAATTAAGGTAATTATAATTAATAATACTTAATAAATTATCATCATTTTAAGAAGAGAGTCATAATTTTATTATTTTTATAAAGTTATTTCATATTTAATTTCATAATAATGAAATATTGTCAGTTTTAAATCTAAATTCTCGTCCAATTTTACTTTTAATCGTCTTTCAAAAGTCTCTTAATCATTAAAGTATATATGTGATTTATAAATTATTATTATTTTTTCTTATTTTATTGATGTGAAATTTTATTTGTATTTTAACATAATATGTTTTTGTATATTATATGAGGATTCCCTCATTGCTTGAAAGTAAATAATAAAAAAAACATAGAGTTGAAATAAACATATAGAAGGCGATGAGGACATACGAATGGCTTATAAAGTTGCACCACTTTGGACAGTGGCATGAAAGCCGTGGCCCTTCATTGCATGGGAAAAAAGATTTGACCTCATTCTCATGTCTAACAATGATGGAATTAAGGTACGCACTTAATTTCATAATAGGAGTTAGGAAATTCAAACCACGTCTTTCTTGATTTGCTTTACCTACATGGAATATTTCGAGAGTGGAAATATAATGCACGTGCATGCGTATAAATTATATATTATGTGATTTTCTTGTTTCATGGTTTTGTACAGGCAACAAACTTACTTCGTATAATGGTGGTTCGTAGCTTGAATAAAATGCCATCTTTTTTTATTTTATTTTATTTTATATGCCATTTTTTTTGGTAAAGATAAGAAAAATTATAAAGATGGTCGCAATGAGAATTGAACCTAAGTCTTCATGTTTCTAACTAACTCAACCCTTCCCCACTCAACCACTATGCTAACCCTAATGATTATTTTATATGCCATCTGAATTTCCACTCAAGAAACATTGAATATAAGTGAATCAAATCAAGGAATATATCCTTCATTATCATCCATGAGAATATAGGTCAAATCTTTTGCCATTGCAATGAAGGGTCACGGCTTCTTTGCCACCTTCCATAGTAACACGCACAAGTTCCTCAAGAACAGATCTTCATACTAGAGCAACAAGATCAAAATTAAGAACCCGCGTGATGTAGTTTATGAAAAGTTTAAATAGTCTATTCCAAAAACAAATGCTTAATTAGTTATTTTTTAAGTCATCTAATGAACATGATCAAAATTAATGGTTTGTTGGTTGAAAAATTGAATATTAAAAAGAAAAATTATAAAATATCATATATATATATTATAGTTATTTATTTAAACTTTGTTTTGTATATTTCACTTCTTTATCTAGTAAAGAAAATAATAACAACCAAAAAGTTAGTTATTCAGTTGAGGTATATAATAACTAACTTTCACTTGTTATTATTGTTCTATTTCATTAAAAATAAACAAAACTAATTAAGTTTTGAGAATCCGAAGAAAATCCAAATGTAGTGTTACGTGCGTGCGAATGGAATGGCATATTTATAATCGTATATATAGGCATAGCACTCCAACAAACTAGCTTAATTATATTCATACATCGTTCTTTCTCTGAAGCTGCAGAACTAATAGAGTTGTCATTCAAGTTAACTAATTAGTGCTTTTTTACATTATCTTCAATTCAAATGAATATATTTTTCTGCAACTATGTTTCTTGCTTGTTTAGGAATAAAGTGAAATACTTGTCTTGTTTTTTTTTTTTTTTTTTTCAAGAAACATTTGTAACACGAGTGGTGAAAATATATATCGGTGCAAGTTATGGAGGAAGGCCAAGGCAGCAACAAACACAAAGTGATAATCGCTCCTATACTTGAAGCTGAAACTGAAAGGGAAAAGTTGGGAAATGAATTCAGTGCAATTGTTGTAGAGGAAGATGTTGTCGTCAGAATGGGTCACAAAGAGATTTTGACATTAAATGGGGCGAAAACTTGTGATACTGTGGGAAATGGTCGAGAAGCCACGACCCTTCATCTCAATGGCAAAAGATTTGACATCATTCTCATGGATTTGGACATGCCTGATGATGATGGATTTAACGTAAGTACGCAGTTAACTTCATAACATATGAGGAATGTCTCTTTAGTACGTAAAAAGCATGTGCATGCAATTATTTTATAATGAGTTTTTCTTTTTGCATGTTTTTATACAGACAATAGATACACTTCGTTCATTGGGCGTTCGCAGCTTGATTTTAAGTGTGTCGGGACCATGCTGTCCAGAAATTTTTCCTAGATTATTCAAGGAAGTGCCGATAGATGGCCACTTAATCAAACCCTTGACTGTTCAGATGCTTGGAGAAGCTCTTCAAAAGTTCAAATCATGATGAAGAAAATGAAAATCCAACTCTGATGAATGCAGTGCAACAATAGTGGTCTGTTTTTTCATGCTAACACATTGTTTGTTGTGTGTACAAGATAAGGAGAAGAAACCTCCAAAATGACCTTTTATTTGTAACAAATCTTGCAAAGGGTCCTACTGTTTTCAGTTTCCAAGTTTTCAACTGACTTTTAGAGTTGTAACTGATTTTGACAATATATGATGTTTGATCATTTGCATTTTCAAAGAAACAAGAATTTGGTCCATTTGGAGCAACTGTTTGATCTATTTGTAATGGAAAATAAAAACGGCCTCTTAAGTGACTGTATCTTATTATTGGGAGTTGCTACGGTACCCTCAAAGATTGAGAGGTTTCAATACATTTTCCTATATAAAAACTCATAAAAATTTAAAAAAGATTAATTTAATTATAAAATGAAGAATCTAAATTATACTTATAAAATAAAAAATAAGATAAAATTATAGAGATTAAAATTATAAGATTTCAATAATATTATAAAATATTAAAAAAAAGAAAAAATTAATAAATAGTAGAAATAAAAAATTATTAAAATTACAATATAGAAATTCAAAAATTTAAGACAAAAAGACAAAAAATATACTTAAAAAATTATTAAAATTAAAATATAAAATTAAAATATAGAAATTCAAAAATTTTAAGTGAAAAGATAAAAATATACTTAAAAAATTATTAAAATTAAACTATTTAAATATATAATAATATTATTACAAATAAATTAGAATATATAAAATAAAAATAAAATGACTAAATAATTTAAAAATTAAAAAAATAAAATATCATAAATATTATTTAAATAAATTATTAAAAATATAAAATATAAAAAACTGTACCGGTACCCTCTCAAATAAGATAGGTACCGTAGAATTTCTCTCTTATTATTTGCTCACTTTAGGGTCAATCTGAAAAAATATTAAATTAATGCAAAGATTGTGCATAGTATCGAAGGCAATAATATAATAGTAGCTATCAGTGTTTTATATATCCCTTCGGATATGTTCATATATGTATATGTATTCAATATCAGTTACAGTTTGCAACATTAAACACACAAAAAGGAAATGTTTAGGACTTTAGAGTAATTTATTTTGTTATCTAATTAAGAAGTATATTAGACATGCAATTAGAGAAACATGGCAAGTTAAGACACAAAATTAGCTTTAACGCAAATTTTCTAAATAATCAATTGTATACTAGCAAGTAGCTAGAGTGTTGCTTACTTGCTCCCTGTTTAATTGGTAAACCCCTTCTGCATGATTTAATTAAATCCCTGAAATGAGTACACCTCAGATAATTTAAGTAGATTTTTGGTTTCTAAGAATCATGCATTCTCCTTCACCCTGTTCGAAGCATGTTGGAGGACACTAAACATGAAACTTTTGCAAGTAATTGATTTCAATGTCTAACGGTTATTGCTTTCACTGTTCTTTTTTTTTTTAAATGAACAAATTATATTAACAACAAAAAAATTTCAAACTTAAGATCGTGTGAATATTGTCCTAACCTTTCACTATTATGTCATCCTTAATGATTTAAATAAATAATTATTTTAAGTTGATGAGTCTTATTAAGAAAATTAATATATTTAGTTAGTAGTAACTTAAACACTTAACGAAATAGAATAACATGAAGTGTTCCTATCGGTTAGAGAGATTGATTTGAGTTTTGTTTGTACAACTATAAAAAGCAAAGTGGAGCCTTGTTAGTTGTTATATATATGTACAATTCATTGGCTGAAAATCATTTATGAAATAGAGTACGAAATAACTGTATCTTTCCTATTTGCTGAAAAAATGAATAATAAAAAGAAAAAAAATAGAGTTTAACCCATATTTTGTATAGTTAATTTACAATAACTCATATATAACACACAAACTGCTATTTTATCTGAGATAATTTTTAAAACTTTTTTTAACTTTATATTTAATTTAATTTTTATTTATTATAATTATTTATAAATTAAATTTTAATATTTTAAAAATAAACTATCTATAATTATTAATTATAAATTTAAAATATAATTTATATATTTAAAAATATCTATTTATTTAATTTTAAATAATATTTATATATTGAAATATAATATTTATTTATATACATAATTTTTTTTTAAAAAATAGTTATATATAATAAATATTTAACCTTTATATTGCATATTCTAAAATGGTAATTGCAAGCACTTCCTCTGAAGTACGGTTGCTCTCTGTCTACGATCCATTTTATTAAGAAGAGATCATGAACAAGCCAACAAATACATTGAATTTAATTTTCTTCCAACAAATACATTGAATTTAATTTAGAAAATTAAGATGTTATCTTTATAGTTATTTATTTAAACTTTGTTGTGTATATTTCACTTCTTTATCTTGTAAAGGCAATAATAACTACTAAAAGTTAGTTATTCAGTTGAGGTAAACAGTAAACTTAATAACTAACTTTCAGCCTTTACATTCTTTTATTTTATTTCGTGAAAATAAACAAAACTAAATTTTGAGAATTCGAAGAATATACGTGCAGGTCAGTGTACTTACATATACATATATATATAACAGATTTATCTTTCATGCATATTTTTATATTCATCCATCTTTCTCGTTTGATCAGAAGCTGCAGAACTAATAGAGTTGTCACGCATTAATTCAGGTTAACTAATTAGTGTTTCTTGACATTATCTTGAATTGAAATGTATATATACATATTCATATTTTTCAGCAACTATTTCTTGCTTGTTTAGGAAGAAAGTAAAATATTTGTCTTTTTCTTTTTCAAAGAAACATTTGTAACACAAGTGGTGAAGAGTTAGGTGCAAGTTATGGAAGGCCAAAGCAGCAACAAACGCAAAGCGATAGCTGAACCTGAGTGGGACTATGAATTCAGTGCACTTGTTGTAGAAGAAGATGCGGACGTGAGAATGGCTCACAAAGAGATTTTGACATTAGTTGGGGCGAGAACTTGTGATACTGTAGGAAATGGCCAAGAAGCCGTGAACCTTCATCTCAATGGCAAAACATTTGATCTCATTCTCATGGATTTTGACATGCCTGGTGGTGATGGATTTGTGGTACGTACAGTTGATGAATGTCTGTCTCTCTAGTAAATGCATGTGCATGTGCTTGCAGCGTATCAATTATAATGAGACTTTCTTGTTGCATGTTTTTATACAGACAACAAATAAGCTTCGTTCAATGGGGGTTCATAGCTTGATTTTAAGTGTGTCGGGACCGTGCTCTCAAGATACTGTGCAAAGATTTTTGAAGGAAATCCCGATAGATGGCCACTATATCAAACCCTTGACTGTTCAGATGCTTCAAGAAGCTCTTCAAAAGCTAAACTTAAAGCCATGAAAATTCAACTGTGTGATGGATGCAGTACAATAATAGTGGTCTGTTTATTCATGCTAATTAGCAGTATGAACAGTGTTTGTTGTGTGTACAAAATAAGGAGAAAATACTCCAAAATGACCTTTTATTCTTTAACAAATCTTGCAAAGTGTCCTTCTGTTTTCAGTTTCTAAGTTTTCAACTGAAATGTAGAATTGTAACTGATTTTGACAATATATGGTGTTCGATCATTTACATTTTCAAGGAAACAAGAATTTGGTCCATTTGGAGCAACTCTTTGATCTATTTGTAATGGGTGGCTGTATCTTATTATTTGCCTACTTTAGAGACAAACTGAAAAATACTAAACTGTTACACATGGATTGGGCACAGTTACTATCAAAGACAATAATATATATTGATTGTAGCTATCAGTTATATATAATTATATATCCCTTCGGTTATGTTCCTGTTTATGTACGTATTCGATAGGAGTTTCAGTTTGCAACATTAAACCACAAAAAGGAAATGTTTAGGCTAATTTATTTTGTTATCTAATTAGTAAATTAGACATGTAAAGAAACATGGCAAGTTAAAACACAAAATTCGCTTTAATGTATATGCTAATGCCATTTCATGAGTTCCCAGTCATGCATTTCCTGACTCCAGATTTACTTGGAATCCATTTTTCTAAATAATCAATTTTATACTAGCTAGACAGTTCTCCTACTTCAATTGGTAAACCCCTGCTGCAAGGTTTAATTAAATCCCTGAAATTAGTAATACCTTCGTAAATATTACTTAAACTACTCTTAGATAATTTAATTAGATTTTTGGTTTCAAGAATTATGTATTCTGGTGTAAAAAAAAAGAGAAAGAATTATGTACTCTCCTTCATCCTGTTCAAAGCATGGTTGGAGGATACTAAAGATGGAGACTTCTGCAAGTAATTGATTACAAGTCTCTCACGGTTGTTTTCACTCAGCTTCAATAACTTTCACTTCTTTTACAATCATGTTCATTCTTTAAACATTACACCTATATGCTATATCGTTTCCTCGGATTTAATTACCTAATTCAATTCACTAAAATTATGAAAAAATAATTAATTAAGTTAATAACAATAAATCTATCTTTCTCTAATATTTTTCTTTGCAAAACTATCTTTATATTATCCCTTTCTTAAATAATACTCCTTTCTCTCTTAATTAACAAAGCATATGTAGTTAAAAACATTTTAGTCTAAAAAATAATTAATACATGAGATTATATAAAATAAGTTTAATTTAAAGAAACAACCGATTGTTAAGTTAGATCTTAAGTCTTACAAATAAAAATAGTAGTATTTGTTTAATTTATCACAACTCAACATTTTTATTCATTGATGAAACCAGTTAATGAAAAAAAAAATTAAATCAATCGATTGTTCACAACTTCAAAAATCGTTCTCAATTTGTTACTTTCATGAACCAAATTGATTAACTATTATAATTTCAGAGACTAAATTGGTCTAAAACTGTTAAATGTAGAATTTTAATACTAGTTTTCAAAATTCAATTTTACATGTGACTAAATGTACAGATATAAATACCCCGCCCAAATAAGATTAGTAACTCGTAGGAGAGCTAACAAATTCAACATCATTCCACGTGCATTTATGAAACTTCCGGAAGGGTAGGCAGTCCCACGTTGGGAATGCTCCCGAAGTCTCGTAATAAAGTACAATCTTTCCTAACGCTCCCTGTGTTACAATATTGTGATACAACCATCTACATCCAATCATTTCTCTTCATCCTCGGAATCTGACTTCGCAAAAACTGGCTCAGGTTGGGTTTCTGCATATGCTGGAGCAATGAACTTTGGATCCTTTGCTGCAGCATCAGCATATTTCAGGATAGCTTCCCTTGGATCCTCCTCCATCCATGTCTCCTTGATCATACCACCTTTCTGCAATTACATAAAGAAGTAAGTACCTTTCACTGTCACAATCTACAGCATGAAAACTGGACAGTCAACAAAAATGAAAAGAAATAAATGTGCACAAAAAAAAAAAAAACCTTTAGAAGATACTGGGTCAGTAAGCTTCCTTGACTAGTACCAACTCGTCCACCAAAGCCAGGACCAGTAATAGGTAGTTCAGGCTTATGGGACTTCAATGGATCCTTTAATATTTTCTCTCGCTGACGCTTCCGGCTTGGCTGATCTCTAAATAATGGTAAAGCGTGAGGATTGTGAATGACAGGTTTTGCCTCAAAGTCATCAATTGATTTTTTCCTCGGTGCACGTGCAACACAGACCAAAGCTCCTCTCTCACTTACGGTTGGGTCATATAGTATGTGAGTCCCTCCTTGGCTTTTATCACCAGTAGTTGCAAATATCTTTACAAATAAAAGCAAGTTCAAAAAGTATTATAAGCACGAGCAACAAATCCTGTTCAGAGAATGCAATATGCACCAGAGAATGCAAGATGACACCACAAAATTTGTTACCTGATTTAGTTTAGGATGCCAATAACACTGGACAACACTACAAGTGGGTGATATGCCAACTCTAGAAACAAGCTCAAGGTTTACTCTATCAAAGAAGCATAATAAACCTCCAGTCGAGCTCTCCCTTTCCACGGATGTTCCAGTCAAAAAGAGTTGTTCATCAGGACTGAAGGCAATATTTGTTTGTCCATAGTGATTTGGCAGATCCTCAAACACCTTTAACGGTTCCTTTATTTTGCGCAGATCCCAAACCTGAGACATGATTCATTGGTCAATCAGAAGTCACGAAGATTGGAGAAGGGTAAATACACGCCTAATAAAAAAAGCAAACAGCAACAAGCTACAATATATGATTTAGATTTTAGAATAAGTGAACATTTATTTACCTTCAATGAACCATCAAAACTCCTTGACAGTAAGATTCTCCCATCACTAGAAAATTTCAGACCACTAATATCATCCTCATGACATTTTTCAATATGTACATCTGGCCTACTCCCCCATCCGGGCTTAATATTCCAAATCTGTGAAAATTAATTGACCATTCCAAGCAATATAAGGAGAGAGTTAATGTTGTTTCAACTTTCAAGCTTAAAAGAAGTATACAGATATTGAGTTTACTACCCAGTAAAATCAGTGAGAAAAGATAATTGACCATTCCAAGCAATATAAGGAGAAAGTTGATGTTGTTTCGACTTTCAAGCTTAAAAGCAATATACGGATATTGTCTATATTACCCAGTAAAATTAGTGAAGAAAATAGGTACCTGTATTGAACCATCTCCTATACCACCGGCAATGCATTTACCATCACGATCCCATGCACATGTGGTGACAGGAACTCTTCCAGGTCTTGCAAGCTTTGGTTTAATGACCTAACAAATGAATGATAGCAGCAAAACTTCAGTAACATCAGAACAGTGTAAAAAATAAATTATAACAAATTATCACAACCCCATCCAGAGACAAAAACTTCCATATATGTGAAATCCAAAAATGCATAGGAACATATTCTTCAGTCACAATTGTCAAATTTGTGATTTAACTAGTAGAATTGTACTGTTTTTACAATTCTAGGTAGGGAAATAAAGTTAACTCAGCTTGAAAACCCATTTCTGAATAAACTCAGGTGAATTGTTACAAATTGCTTAGGCTAGTGAGTTTGAGGAAGAGTCTACACCAGCATGTTCTACTGTCTCTAAAAGAAAAAGCCCAAAATGACATCGAGACTAGAATTATTTTATTGCCTTTTGAAAAAAAAAAGCATCACAAAAGTCTAATGCAGGGCTTCAACCACCAACTACACAGCCATTCAAACTCAATCCCATTGCTGCATCCAACATCCCAGCATGAAGCCAGTTCCAATGAAGGTCATGAAAAAACCAGAGAGATGATGATGACTCTCAACCCAACCATAGTAGTCAATCCTTGATAGCAGTGTGGAGAAGCTGACCCCACAAATGGGATAGCGGGATGACTGCTATTCTAATATTTATTATATTAAATAATTAATATTATAGACATTAAATTCTGTTTATTTATCAAACTAACAATAACCTTTTCTCCATCAAATAATAAACCAGAGTAAGAACAGGGGTCTTTATAAATAGAATGCCAATAAATTCTTCACAACTGCATGCAAAGAAGCAGCCAATAATCATACCAGCAATGTCAGAAGCATGTAACAGATACATTCAGACACTTTTCCATGCAAAGCCTAAAGTTCTATTTTAAGAAGTCTAAGTATCCCCAAATATTAATAAATATGAATTTAACAAAATTTCAGTTTGAAAGGCTCTATATTCCCAAATAAAGGTTATAAATAAAAACAAAGTCACAATGCATGGAATCACTACAGTGAAAACATTTACCATGGAAGAAGACTAAGGTAAAATTTTCAAACCTGTTTTTGACTTTTGAAGTCATTGACATCCCATATACGTAGTGAGCCATCCTCTGATGATGTTAAAATGGTCTCTTTAGTTTTTGGATGCCACTCTCCACATGTCAATCCAGATATGTGGCCCTTGGTATTCTTTAGATCACGAATATACATGTCTCCCTTCACAAACTCTCCCAAAGTAAGCCCATCACGATCATAAATCTGTGGTAAAGGAAGAAAGGCACAGTTAGAAGAAAATCACCAAAGCACTAGTGCAAGAAGACAATGATGCCACGTGCTACCTTTGCTTGAGCTGACCCAGTCACGCACAAAAAGCGATCTGCAGTTGGACTCCAGCTTAAATTGCGAACTTGATGACCTTCAAACGGCTCCAGCTGTCGAAATGATTGCAGACGAGCATTCATCCCTTGAAAGTCGTACATTCTTACCATATAGTCATAGCTTCCAGAAAGCACTCTCGATCCAGTGTGATCCACAGCAAGAGCTGATACAACCTGTTATTAGTTGCAGAAACGTTACCAATTATCATTTATAAATTACTTAAAACCAAAACTGATTTCCTTTCCCATCACATTTAGATTTCAAATAATTGCAGCAGCTGCTCATTTACATAGCTGGGGTCTATCTTCTAGGTTTCTAGTCAAGGTTCTAAAAATTAGTCCTCAACCGCAATTTCCTCAATGTCAAGGTTTTTGGAGTCTCTGTGATTGCAATCGTGACCCTAGTTGCATTTGTCTGCAATTTTCCGTAATACCAACAACGCGACCGTAGCCATGACCGCCATTTAAAACCATGGTTCTAGTTCGGTACTTATTTGTTGCAATCTAACGGATTCAAAAACAATGAATTGTCTCCCACTACTTATAGCAATGTTAAAGCTATCCATGATATTGGCGAACCCTTGGGGGATCCACGTATGACTTAAAACACAGTGTAAACACCCGAGCTTTGAAACTCTAGAGACTAATTAATATTGAAAATTCTCAAACTTGGGAATTGGAAATCAAAATAGATCTACAAGTATCATTATTTGTTACCATGCCCTAGAAGGTAGGCACCACTAATTGTTCTTCCTTAAGATATTATTTTTTTCGTCAATTTGGGGAATTGGGAGAAGAAAGGAACGAAGGAATACCTTGGTGTGGCCCTTTAGTACAATCTCGTTGCTAAGGGGAATCCTGAAGTGCGTCCCTACCTCGTCCTGATCCGAATCCTCTTCGGACTCCGACGCATTCGGTGGCGGCGGGGGCGGGCCAATCATCTCTCCGTCGTCGTCGTCGGAAGGTGCGGGCGGCGGAGGCGGAGGGCCCACCGTGGGGGCATCGTCGTGAGGTGGAGGAGTAGGGTTTTTGGGAGGACGGAGGGAATTGAGCCATTCTTTGGAAGAGGAGGAGAGAGAGGGAAGTTGTTGGGTGGGTTTGGGATTGGGATTGGAACGACGTGTGGCATTGTGGATGGCTTCGAGAGGGGTTTGAGGCTTCGATTGCTTCCCGAATGAAAGAGGGAACTGAGCTCGAGCACCGTCGTATATGTCACCCTCCTCCTCCATTTTTTGCACACCTGAGTTCTACTACGCTACATTCTGTTGTATATATATTTTATTATTTATTAAAAAAATTATATATACAAATACACCTGGGTTCATTTACATACATATGTACAACTAACAACAGAACAATTATAATATTATTAAAAGAAAAATAAATCAAAACCTAAATATCATAATTATAAAACATCATATAAAAGTAGGTAGAAAACAATATTAATTCATACATTCATAATAGAGTTCTTCATGCTCACTCAAAACGAGTTATTTGAATGCTTTGAGTGAATTAATATAACAATACAATCATAGATATTAAAAGATAGGCTAAAAATCTAATTTGCTTTCTTATAATATTTTTTTTTCAATTTAGTCCCTTATTAATTTTTTGTCTCAATTTGGTCCTCAACTAATTAATTGGTTTCAATTTAGTCCCAAATTAATTAATTGGTTTCAATGTGGGACTTTCCGTCCAAATTGCTTTAATGGTGTTAACTTTTGGTCACGTAGACGCCAGGTAGATGCATACGTGGATACCACGTGGATGAGAGTTTTTTTTAAAACACCTGGACCCAGAACGGGCCGTTCTGGGTGCACTTTTGGTGTGTTAATTTTGCATCCGGAATGGCCCGTTCCAGGTGCAAAATTAACACACCGAAAATGCAACCAGAACGTCTCGTTCCGGTTTCAGAACGGGCCGTTCTGGTTTTATTTTAATTTATTTATATATAAAATATTAATAATTTTATAAAATATATATTATATTATATTTTAATTATGTTATTATATCTAATAAAATA